TTTCAATCATAAAATAAGTCGAATTCCAACGAACGGGCATATATCGAATCTCGGTCCCAAAGCTCTAAAACCGACGTCCTTGCAATACTTTCTATAGGCCGCATTCATTTTTTTTTTACCTTTTATGAAAATTTGTCGCAACATAAGTCTAAACTTATCTATTACGGGTTTACAAGTATTTAAACCGTCTTGAACGGCTAAATTTATTATTTGTGCATAACAACGTGTATGAAATAATTTACCGTCTAAAATAGGTGTCAAATGACACTTTAATTTTTACACACAAGAATTGTTATTACTAGCATTATCAAATGAAATACTAATTATTTTAGTGGTTAAATTATAAAATGCAAGACATTTTTTAATAATCGAAAATTGACGTGCTCCCGAATGTGGAGCACCAAACGGTTCAAACGCGATTACACGTTTGAATAAATGTCATGTTGTAGGCTCAACCCAATGTGCCGTTATGCATATATACGAAACCGGTAATCCTTATGGTGCGCTCCATACATCACACGTTAAAGAAATATTGTTAGGCAAAGCGGAAAACATTTGTTACATTTCGGCCTGACACATTTTCCACATTTTTATTGCATCACGTCTAAGTGTTTGACGACTTACCGGCTTGTATCGTGGTTGTAGCGTCTTTTGAATCAACTTCGTAACGTGAGGGTTGTCGAAATGTACGAAAGGCAACCCGACTTGAATGACACATTGTGTTGTCATTTGTTCGTTCAACTCGGCATCATACGACCATCTTTGACCTTGGGTGTCAAGTATCGGTTGGCTTGAATCGCCCCCAACCTCAACCCCGGGCACGTTTTTCGGTGTACCTCCTTAACGTAGAATTTCATTCCACCGTAAGGAGAGCTTGACACAATTTGCATTGTGCTTTTCTTTTTCCGGTCGTTAGAACCACCAAGTTGTAGTGATTTCAAATCTCGGACTTTCGTCCGTGTTAGGTGAAAACTTGGGCAACTTGTTCGTTTGATGGTTGTTCACCGGCCATTTTGTAAGGCAAAGAGAGAAAAAAAAAGAGAATTGTGAAGTGGAAACGATAAATTAATACGTAGCGAATTCACAAAATATAGCGAGAAACCGAGAATTGAGAGCGTTTTTTGCGTTTTTGAAGATGAGATGAGTTGGTATGTTTACTTGGGACTCTTGTGCATATTTATAGTCAATTGAAGAAGAGAAGAGATGAAAAAAACTGTCATTTTTCTACCCCAACGGCTATGTTGACGATTCTAACGGCTAGTTTGACCTTAGTATCAGCTAGTTTGACTTTCGTTGACCAGGCTAGGCTAGGCCCATAACCGGTCCCGGTTTCGGCCGGTCTCGGGCCTAAAAAACAACAAAATGCATAACCGGTTCATAACCGACGGTCCCTCAACAGGTCCCTGCCGGTCCCGGTCCCTTGCGGGTCCCGATTTCGATCCTCCGACAGTTACAGGCCGGGCCGAGCCGGTTTGGCCATCACTACTGCCGACTATCACCTATCTGAACCACCACCCTCCACCACCTAACTGAACCACCAGTCTGAAACCTTCGATCTAAATACCACTCTGACGCTGCATCCTCGAAACTCATTTTACGAAGGAAAGAAAGGAAGGGGAAGGAAAAGTGAAGAAAATGAAAAAAATACTCGTGCTCTCGATACCTTTTTAGGAGAGAAAAAAACGAAATAGAAGAAAAATAATGAGTAGTTTTCTTCTAAAACTTTCCTCCCATATGCGGTAGGAAAGGGAAGGAAATGAAATGAACTAAATTCATTTAAGAAATTAATAAAATTACAAAACTAACTGATCTTCATTCTAAATGATATAATTTTAAAGGACATATTAGTAAACTAGGTTCAATCACGTGTATTACACGGCGTAATTTGAAAAAATTAAATCATGTCAGGAACTTATCTTACAGATATGAATGATCATCGAAAGTATGATGCAACTTCAGACTTGTACTCTTGAAATAACTCTGAAGTATAACTTTAAAGAATAACTTTGGAAAATGACTTTTCAAACTTGAATTTAGAAATGAAACTATATCAATATTTAGTTAAAATAAAGTTAACCGTAGAATAATTAAATTTAGAAATGAAACTATATCAGTAAATTAAATTTAAACTTAGAAGTAAATTAAGAATGACTCTTCAGACTTGTACTCTTGAAATAACTCTAAAGAATGACTTCAGACTTGTACTCTTGAAATAACTCTGAAGTAATACTCTTCAGACTTCAGAGCTCTGTATAGGCAAGCCAAAGGCTCTGCATGGTGCTTCGTCCGGAAAAGAAGACTACAGAGTTTGAGTGAGCTAACTATGAAGAATGACTCTTTAGACTTGTACTCCAGAAATAACTCTGAAATAAAACTCTGAAGAATGACTCTTCAGACTTGTACTCTTGAAATAACTCTGAAATATAAAATCAATCCCACTAAATCAGAGTTCAGACTTTTAAGTCTAAAAAAAAGACTTCATAGTTCAGGCTTCAGAGTTTGGGTGAGCTAAGTCTGAAAAATAAGACTTCAAAATTCAAGTGAGCTAACTCTGAATAATGACTCTTCAGACTTGTACATTTCAAAATTGTAGAAGACTTCCGAGTTCAGACTTCTAAGCCTGAAAAATAAGACTTTGGACTTCTTTTTCTAAGTCTAAAAAAAGACTTCAGAGTTCAGACTTTTAAATCTGAAAAAGAAGACTTCAGAGTTCAGACTCCAGAGTTAGGGTGAACTATGTCTGAAAAAACAAACTTCAAATGTCATGTGAACTAACTCTCAAAAATGACTTCAGACTTGTTCTCTTGAAATAACTCTGAAGTAAATTTTTTTAGTAAATTGAATTTAGAATAAAATGAAGTTAACCCTATAATAAAATTGAATTTAGAAATGAAACTATATCAGTAAATTGAATTTAAACTTAGAAGTAAACACCATTTTTTTCGGGAATCAGTTACCACATGAATTAATTAACCCAAGAATAAAATCAATTACATCCTCAATTAGTGTGATTGATTGAATAAGATGACACATGTAAATCAAATGAGTATAATTGATCTGTTAACGTAAATTGTGTCTAGTTACGTTCAAATGAGTCTAATTGAACCACTAATGTAAATTGTGTCTAGATACGTGTTTATGCGGAAAAACAAGAAAACTGACTCACCAAAACGTGTCACCCAAGTTACTTATTTATTATAAGTATAGAAATGGCAACTTTTCTTTCATTTCTCTCATGTTCGAGAATATTTTTTTTTCATTTCCTTTCCTCTCTTTCAAGAACTCAAATAAAAATTTTATTTTCATATCATTTCTTTTCCTTTCTTTTCTTTCCAAATTTGAGAACAAAGCGTGGACGACCGCTGGGCACCATCGATTTGAACCACCGCCGACCACCATGTTTTGAACCACCACTTTCAATCATCACTGACCACCTCCAATATAAACCACCACCGATCTGAACCACCGTTCTAAATTACAGATTCACAGCCGACCAACACTGTTATAAAAGGGGTATTTCGGTTATTTATCTTTTATTTGTTTTAATTTTGAAGTTACATTCTAACAACCAACCTGATATATTCCAAAACATTTAACATATTCCGTCCCAATTCATTCCAACCAAATGATAGATGAAAGTCCATTTCAATTATTTTAAAGTAAATTCCTTATAATATAATCCTTTCCTTTAATAAAAAATTATGCAAATCAAAATTCCCTCATTTCCATCGCCATAATTTACGAATCCATTTGGTATTCGTCCCTAAAACTACCTTCATCGCTCATTTTGATCGTCTTCAACTTTATATATACTAGTTGTCTACCCGCGCAATGCAGCGGGATGTAAAAAGCTCATTAAGATTATTCAATTTTGAAATATCAAATTCCTTAAAGATGTAACAAAACCTACTCTAATTTAGATTCAAATATATATCTATCTAAAATGTTGGTGTTAGTAGGTTCTACAATTATTCTTAAACCCTTAATCACACCCCGATTGACTGGAGCGATGGAGCAAGATACAAGCATTTGCCAAGGACTGGAGCGGTGGAGCAAGATACTAGACCAGAGTCACAACTCATCTCAAATATATTGAATCAAATAAACCCTTAAAAGCAAATGGGTTTGTTAATGTATACAAATATTGTAAATGTAGATCCGGAGCTCCGAAATGCTAACCTTTAAAATAAGCAGCTAGCTCAAACCCTAGTAGTAAAATGGAAAGCTAAATGAAGACCTTTATACAAGTATAAAAACGTGTGGAAGTTGTAAGGATGTCAGTGCGACCGGAGGAGAGACGGTGAGGAACAACGGAGGCGAGGAAGAATGTAGCTGGGGCAATGGAGGTAATTGGGAAAAATCAATCGTGAATTATAAAAATCTGAGGTTTACAATTAAAATGGTAAGAGAGTTTTTGATGGTAAGATGAAAATCAGGGTCAAATTTTGAAATGGATAGATGGTTTAAGTTTTCAATGTCTATTGAGAACCAAAACTAAATATGTGAAATATAAAACTTATAAGTATAATTTGTAAGTCAAAGACCTTCCAGCCTAGTGGTAAAGGCTTGAGCATGACATAGTCATAAACCCGAGTTCGAGTCCTGGGAGGGAAGTGTTGGCGACATTTAAGTGGGGCCATGTTTAACCTCCAAATTTGCCGAGGATTAGTCGGGCTTTGGCCCGGACACCCTTACAAAAAAAAAGTATAAGTTGTAAAAGGTAAAACATTATTGAGTTGTACCATATGTATAAATGACTTGTAATTAAGACTTTATGCATAAAGAAAAAATACCTTATGCATTTAAGGTTGTTTTTAAGACTTTTATCAAATTTGCTTTATAAGGTAGTATATTTATATATTATTTATTTATTTTCCTTTTTTTTTCTTTTTCGCGATGAATGACCCTCTTTTCCGTCTGTCTCACCCTCTCCCCTTCTCTTCATCGCCGTACTAGCGAAACCCCTCCTCTATCGTGAACTTCTCCGGCAGCCGCTTATAGCTGTCCACCACCAATCTGCTGCAACCACCGCCGAGGGCCTTCATTCCAGTCTCCATACGCCATCGAGCCACCACCGCCGACAGCCATTCCCCAGCCGGCCCCCTGCACACCGTAATCTCACTCTCCGGCTACCACTCCTCCTACCACCTCCAGGACATCACGACCAGCACTCCGGTAACCACCCTACCCTCTGTCCCGACCAAGACCACCACCATTGTAGCACCCCGGTTTTCTGTGCTCTGCCGTTCTTCCTCTTGAAACCCATCAAACAGCCCCTCCCCTCCGCTTCCTCTTGTAATTTAAAATATATATTTTTATTAAAACCGAATATAGTTTAAATTTGTGCCAAATCTGCTTGCAGATTACGAATATTCTTGCAGAAACCCTACAGCACAGGAAGGCGGTCGAAGTGTCCACATTCCACACTTTATAAACCCTAAATCCTATATACTCACAATCCCCAAGTATCCAAATCGCCAAGGTTCTATTGCTCGATCAATTAACATTCAAAATGTCATATCACGATGAAGAAGAATCCTCCGGCAGTGATTCCGATACCGGATTTGCCGAAGACATGGAAGCTCTTAGAAGGGCCTGCTCTGTCACAGGCGTCGACGATGCTGTCGACGATCTCCCCAAATCATCCACTGCCGATGACGATCATGATGATGCCACTTATGCGTCTGAGGACGAAGACATTGAGTTGCTTCGTCGGATTCAACAACGTTTTTCTGTTCCAACCACAGACGTTGGCAATGAACAGCAGCCTGTTTCTATGAGACCATTAAATACCATTCTACCTTCGGGCTTATCGGAGGAGAATGATGATTATGGGGACGATTTTGAAACTCTCCGTGCCATTCAACGGCGGTTCTCGCAGTACAATGGTAATGTTTGATTTAATTTTGGATTTCATTCTTCTGTGTTTTTTCGAATCGTTTGTTTACATTAAGGTTTTATCGTTGAATATTTTGTCGCATGTTATCTCGATCTATTATGATGCATATATTTTGTGAATGATCAACCGCATGGCTTCCTACCTGGGACCTTATTTCACTTGTGTTGTTCTACTTTGATGGGTCAGAAATTGCATGCTTCAACTAATCTTGTAAAAGCTTGATTAATGGGATGGAACATCATGATTATCCTTTTACAACGACCTTTCTGCCTAGGTTATTGTGCTCACAATACACGGTTGCTCTATGCTAGTCCAATGTATGTGGTTTATGTTTTACAGCTAACGTAATTTGTTGTTTATTGATTTTTTTGAAACAGATAGCATGAACAACAGCATGGAGAGTTCTTTACAGAGTTCAGAGCAGGTTGGTGCAACTAACATAGACTTGGAAAAGGAATCATCCACTAATTTTTTTGTAAAGAGTATTAATAATGGACAAGGATTTCCAGATTGTGTAGATGGAAGAGCCACCGATCAGAATTTGGATTTTCCCAGTAACATTACCCCTGACATTCTCCATGAAAATGTGAGTGAAGGGCATGAGCCTGGTTCTGAACTTGTTCCAGTCACAGATTGTGGGTTTCCAAGATCTGCACAGGCATTTGTTGAAGCCATCAAGAAGAACAGGACATGCCAGAAATTTATACGTAGTAAATTAGTTCAGATTGAAGCCAGGATGGAAGAAAATAAAAAATTGAGGGAGCGTGTTAAAATTCTAAAAGACTTTCAGGTGGCTTGTAGAAAAAGAACAGGCCGAGCATTGTCTCAGAAAAAGGATGCACGCATCCAGCTCATTTCAGTTCCAAAGCAGCGAGCCAATGCTAAGGTTGGTCTCATTGTCTCTGATGCATCTTTTCTTTTGTCTTTATTGCAGCACTATGTACTTGGAACATTAATATTTGGTGCACTGAACCGCACCCAGGCCTCTGAAGATTCCTGGAATATATAATTTACAATTTGTTTCTTAATTCCACATCAAGGAGTTATGAGAGTGTGACGTGGACACACATTATCATGCAACTGATTTAATCACTTTTTTGAGCCTTGTGTCCACTATATGTTGCGAGTTTCATGAGTTTTTTTCTTAGGTAGGCCATGGAAATGTGAACATGCAATTTAATACGAAGCCTGCACACTTTTTAAGACTTGGGATCCTTATACGCTACAATAGTTTTAGAGAATAAACCAGGCTATGAATACCAAACACATGCAATGCCGATAGGGCAAGTTTTTTTATAATATTTGTAATGACTAGTTGACAATAAAGATGATACAAATTTGAAATGACCATGCAGACAACAAACAGGATTAGTTATGGACTGAAGTACATAAATATAATTCTACACAATGATAGGGTACTGAGACTTGAGTTTATGATTCTAAATGGAGATAAAGTCACAGTGAAGAGGGTTCATCCATTCTATTCATGATTACATGCACAGATTGTGGGGGATGGAAAGACATAGTAGGAATCTGGTGCATGCAAGCAAATAATGTCAGCTTGTTGATCGAGATACAAACTGTATTGGTCTCAATCATGGTGCTTGAGAGTGATCTGTTATAATGTCAAGAGGTATCTATCCATCCTCATAGTTACTCAACCGAAACCATTGTGTGACATATGATATAATTCAGATGATATTGTAGGTAAATCACGCTATTAGCTTAAGTGGATTCATCCTACTAGAATGAGGAACAATAGTGGACATAGGTGTGTGCTATGCTGTTACAACGGTCAAAATACAAAATAACGGTCAGGAGTGATACTTGAAATAGCGGTTATCGCGGTGGTATAGCTGTGGTATAGTGGTTCATGTAATATTTCTTAGAATTATATATATAATAAATATGTATGCATATACGAACATAATTATCTGCATTAATTAAAAATATAGTTTCAACATCAAAACATCAACTTAAACAAGTTTCACAAAACAAATTAGGAAAAGTGTTCATAAACAATGATAGAAAACTCGAACACTGTCGAGGAGAGTTGACTGTCGACGATGATAGAAAAAAATTGAGAACCAAGATTCTAAAAATTTCTAAACAGAATGCTGGATGATATTCGTTGACTGTTAATGGATTAAAATAAAACAAGGGCCCAAATAAAAAAAAAGCCCAAAAAAAAGACAAAAATTTAAGCTTTAGATTCAGAAGAGGCCCAACTGAGAATATTGGTATTGTGGACCTCTATTACCTCAAGATATTGGTGAAATAGCGGTAAATTGCGCCGCCATTATCGAAACCGCAATTCCCACCGCTATTTTGCTTATGACCGAGATCCGCTATTGCGCCACAATTAGCATCATAGGGTGTGTGGCTCAGATAGGAAGACAGTGAGGCTAATGTAAACATGTTCTGGACAATTTTATTGATGGAAGATAAGTTAATGAGGTTATTGGTTTGTCTATTATAATTTGGTAATGTGCTACTAGGTTGGTATTCTTTAATTGAATCACATTTAATTGGGCATTAGTTGCTATCATTAAATTTTTTATTAGTATTATTGCTGGCTTAGGACTATTTACTTATTTGTTAATTTGTGAGGTAACTTAGGGCCTGTTTGGAAATTGGAAGTAACTTAATGAGCCCTTTAGCTTATTCGGTCAGCCATTTTGGAGTGTTTGGAAGCAGCTTAATGATTTAGGAATCAGCCTTTTGGGGTTACCCTTACGCACACAGACACAACATTTCCCACCCATACCCTTGTGAAAGTCAAGGTACATTGCAGCTCTCTCGAATCTCTCTCTCTCAAATACCCAGATCTGAAAAACGAAGACCAGGTAGAAATTACAAGGAGATGCAGGTGCTCCTTAGCTCTTCTTCTCGCATCAACATACCCTTTGCTTTGCCATTTCTATGTCCAGATCGATTTGCAAAAGCGACAGACCATTTGCTTTGCTTTGTCATCTCCGTCGATACTCCCGTCCTCCTCTTAGTCTCTGCCATGAGGGTTTCTGGAAAATCAAAAGTGATGAATCGAAAGTGATGGGTTTTGAGAGGTGAATCGAAAGGGGCTTTCTGAAAATTGGAAGTGATGGGTTTTGTATTTTCTGAAAAATCGGAAGTAATCTATCTTTTTGTTTAGGTTTAGACTTGAATCTTTCAAATCTTCTGAATTTAGATTTCAAGTTGTAGGTTTATAACGGATTAAAAAGAGGTTTCTTCATTTGGGTTGTTTATTGTTTGTTGACATAAAATCTTTTGATATATTCTTTAAGACGATGGTGTTCTTGAAGAGACAACTAATATACTAATATTCTCTGGTTCAATCTTCTAAAGGGATGGATTTTCTTATATGTTCTTCTAAAGGGATGGATTTCTTTTTGTTGAGATTCAATCTTCACAAAGATGATTGTATTCTCCAACAGTTTCAGATTCTATCTTCTAATTTGGTTTGTTCTTTAATGAATTCTAATTTGATGTTTAGAGATGAAAAGATAACTAGAAGGATAAGATAGTCATTTTCATCATTCAGACAAATTATTCAGCACAACAAACAAACAACAATTTTATTTAACTCATACAACTAACTTTATTTGCACAGCCAACTTTACCCATACATGACTTAATGAAAAAACAACCAAATAGCCCCTAGTCTTATGGCTTTCTGGTTCCTAAGTCAAGATTAGGTTTTTGTTTCTTTGCAAGTGGTGTGGTAAAACTTGTGTTATCATTGAAATATTGAATGATCTTGAGTTTTCATAATTTTGTCTTTGTTCAATGAATCTCTTTTTGGGTGAATCTTCTATTTTGGATTTGAAACCTTGGAACCTGATCTGTATTATTGTCTCTGAAATTCTATTTTTTGATTTCCTGTTTTCCATCACTATCCTTGCCTTTATTGGAATCCTTGTCGTTGGAAACCATCGACACCGGTTTGTTTCCTTCGTTTTTTTCCTTCAATCCTAACGTTTCTTTTCCCTAATTTTTTTCCTCTCTTCGTTGCCTCGTGGGGGTTTCCCGCTCACTTTCGTCAATTTATTCACCCTTTTTTTGGAGTTCCCTTTAATGGGATAACAGTTTCGATCATTGTTTGAGTGACACAAAATCTTGAACGTTGACCCTTAACCCTCTGCATCCCCATTTTACAGTTGGCTTAGAAAAGAACTTGGTGGCGAGAAGAGGACTTGTGAAGACTGGTGAATTTCCTTTGACTCATTCGATTGCCTTCAACTCTCTTTATCCTTGAATTTTTCTTGTTCGTCCTTACAATTGGTTATGATGGAACCCCATGTTGAGGAAGAGCAATGAAGGTCTAACCATGGTGGTGGTGGCAACGGCGGTGGTGGAGGTTCGCAAGGAGTGTCACCTAACGAGGCCTTGCCCTGCACCCTTGTAAGCTTTCCAATATCCCGACATAATACCCATGTGGCACCTTTAATCTTTCGTTTTTTCTCAAGAATCCCACAAGCTTTCCAACGTCCCAACGTAATATCCATGTGGAACTGGTGTCGTGATGAATTTTCTTTAACCTTTCATTTTTGAAGAGCTCCACTAACTTCTTTATGAACCTGAATTTATTTTGGCAAGAGTATTTTTGATTTGTTTCTTCAAGTTTTGTTTTTCTTTTTCGTTTGTCTATTTCATGAATTTCTTCCTTATGCTTACCCTCGTTCTTCCGATTACCAACCATAACTTGCCAGTTATTACTGCAGGAGGACTTCTTGATTTTTCAAAAATTTTCTGCTTTTCTTTTTGTGCTCGAAGCCTCTTCTTCACGCTTTGCAGATTCTTTTTAGAATTAACTGCCAATAGCATCGGTGTGAGAGATCTTCTGCCATTTTCTTGACGGTAGAATCTCTTACTCTAATACCACTTGATGCACGCCATCGTGCAATGATACCACTTGATGCACATCGTTTTGTATTGTGACACAAAATTAACAAATAACGTACAAGGAAACTAATGATTCATTAGCCGGCCAGTTTCCAGAGGCTGGTTCTCTCCCAACTTTTCCAACTGTCTCCCTATCTATGTTTTACCAAAATACACACAGCTGTAACAATACCCTCTCCCAGTCCGTAACAGAGTAAAAAAACCTTACAAATTGTGTTTGTCTGTCTCATTTTCATTCTCTTCTCTTTGTTTCCTTTTACTGTATAATTTCAGTGTCATTTGTTTTGACAGTCAATCAAGCTTTTTACATCTACAGTTTGCTTGAGGATTGATGTTGGCTTATATCTTTGTTTGTAACAACCCCTTGTATGATGCGTTTTAATCTCTACACTTTCGGACTTGCAGGGTAAGGATAAAAACACGCATGCAATTTATCAAGGTCCTGCTGAGAATTCCCATGTTGCAATTTATAGAGATGTAATTTCAAAATATCCATTCTCGTTGAATAGGGAACCTTGGTTAAAAGAGGATAAGGAGAACCTGATGAAGGGAATCAAACAGCAATTCCAGGAGACATTAATGCACAATCTTTTCAGGTATATTATCATAATGTGAGTTTGTAAAAACTAATTCAAGGTTGCAACTCTTGTCCTTGTTGTACTTGATGTATTTTTTTGCTGCTTTATCCACATTGTGTGGACTGGGTGGATTGAGAATTCTAGTACCCGGCACCATAAAATTGCGCTTGCCAGTTTAATTTAAAGATCATGAACATGCTATAGCTAAGAATATAGACATGTATAATTAAGAAATAATCATTTGGAACATGAAGTGCAACTAATAGTGTATATAAAATGACTGAATTATCTTCTCTCATTAACAATAGCACCATTTTCCCTCTTCTTTATTAATTGATTAGATTTGTTTCCTTGCAGTATATAATATATTGTAAAATGAAGAACAGCGGTTTGAATGAAAATGGAAATGCTTTGAGATTTCACTCATATTGGAAGGAAGTCATTGTCTGTGAACTCAAACATAGACCATCTTATCGAGTATTTAGATATATGAATTTCATGTTAATTGGACGAGAAGGATGTAATTGATAATGTTATGATAAGTTAAGCATGTAATTTTTTTAACATTTTTCTTCAAGCATGCTAGTGAAAATACTATGGAAGTCTAATCATTTTTTTCTATTTTGTCAAAATATAAAAATAAATAAACAGGCTGTCAGCTTTTTTTTGAAAGATATTCACTGGAACTATAGGCCGGTAGATTCAAAACCTAATTTTTCTTTTTTTAAATAACAAAGATCTCATTAACCTTTATTATCTAGTAATAGAGGATATGTCAATTGTTCTTATGAGTTGAATGGTAATCAAGTATCTGTAAACGAAGCGATATTTGAAGACTCACTAATTATATATGATACCATACATATTTAGTTACTGGTACTTGATATTTGGTAATACCTTAAAAAATACATGTTCAAATGTAAACGTTGAACAGTAAGTTATTTCACTTATCACACAGAGTGCCCTGTATAATTTGTATTCAAAACAACTTCTAAAGATTAAATAGACTAATTGTCATTTATTCCTCCATACATATTGTATCTACTTCTCTTTAAACCTATGTATACAAATCTAATCACTGAGCACATCCTACTGAATGTTTTACCTTTTATGCACAGTGCATCAAAATAATATACCAAGTGAGCTACTGTCATGAGTCACATACCACTAACTATACACACCATGACCCAGTGCATACCCCAGGTTAGGTAATATTAGAGACTTTTCAAGCTGTAACAGAAAGAGGGATGAATAAGCATCCTTTTCTGGAAACAATGGCTTAAAAAGATGGCTTGTGGTGTTATGAATTTCTCACTTTAAGAATCATCATATTCTTTGGTTTATTCCAGCTTGAATGAAATTGAGAAGAAAGTTTCCATAGTGCATTTATTTTATTTCTCTACTTGGATCTTTTTATTTGTGTTCCTAATAATATACACTTGACAGTGCTGGAGATGTAGATTCTCGTTATTTGGATAGCATGATCGCGAAAATTGGAGATCATGAAATATCTCCCGAGGAAATCAGGCTATTCGTTCCCAGGGTTAATTGGGAACACCTTTCTTCCATGTATGTCCAAGGACGGTCTGGTCCTGAATGTGAATCGAGGTAACCAATTTTTTTTGCTCATATTATTTTTATATATATAAAACTTGTACTTGGATCCTTCAAAAAAGTTCATATCAAGTTTTTTGGATAAAGCAAAAATAGATGTGAGCCTGTACCATGTGCTCTGCTTCTAAAGTGAAGCACTAGGCATAGCAGGGTCTCTCTTGCCTCTGAGTTGCATCTGGAAGCAAACTCCTATCTAATATAATTTGTTAATTGATTCAGATGGATGAACTGTGAGGACCCCTTAATTAATCGTCAGTCTTGGACTGTACAAGAAGATAAGAAGCTTTTATATGTTGTTCAGAACGAGGGATTTAGTAACTGGATTGACATTGCTGGGCTACTGGGAACAAATAGGACGCCTTTTCAATGCTTGTCGCGTTTTCAGAGGAGTCTTAATGCATCTATAATAAAAAATGAATGGACGACTCCTGAAGATGAGGAACTTCGTATTGCTGTATCAGAGTATGGGGAAACTAACTGGCAGCTTGTTGCTTCTACACTGGAAGGACGGACTGGTACCCAGTGCTCGAATAGGTTAGTTATGAACTGCACACTATTATAACTATGCTACTAGTGTTTCATATCTGTTGGTCTCTAAATGCTCCACAAATATTAATAACATTGCTGAAAAGGAGATGATAGTTGTTTCTTTTTGGATCATACAGAACACATAAACCCAACATAGCTGTCATTTGATATACAATCTAATCTGTATAAATTATAAACTGATCATGTATCAAACATAATCGTTAGCCGTTATAGCCTTAGAGGAAATGGGTTATTTGCTGTGATTGATTTCTTAGGCATTTGTTTTAACAAGAGACTTTTGGCAGTGGAGTTTTTGTACAATTATTTTGGGAAGTTAATGGAGAATCCCTACTTTATAAGTTTGAACTCTAAGCTTGCATATATGGCAAAGTATTAGCTTGGTGTTGGTACAATAGGAGTACTTGGAGAAGCAAGATAAGGGTGAGCAAACTAGGGGTGAAAATTTCTAAATAGCCTAGATGGGAGGAAGGATCTAGAGAGTTCAGGGCCGTTTATCAAATGCTTAGCGGGTAAGCCTTACTGTAAGAGACCTCACCCTTAATTACCTTATTGTGTAACATTCTTGGCCATCAAAATGGATTGTTGGTAAGCGTCTTAAACCCGGTAAGCTCTTATCTGGTAAGGTCTTGTTTGGTTTGTCAGAGTTGATTGGATTTGGAGGGATATGGAATTGAATTCCATTCCATACCCATGTTTGCTTTGAAGGATTTTCTGGATTTGAAATCCTGGGATTTAATTGAAATACCACGGAGGCGTAGGATATGTATGTAATGATGTTCTAAAGTATGTTAAAAACATTTGTTTTGTAATAATCAATTAATAAAAAGGTAATTTGATTATTTTTTATAATTATCTATAACTTGTTTTATAAATTATCTATAAATAATGGAATTCATTTCCATTCCAAATCCTTACAAATCCAATTCCAAATCCTTCCATGAAATCCAAATCTCTCAAAATCATTCCATCAAACCAGACGCACACCAAGAGTCTTTTTCCTCACTTACCGGGTAAGACTCTCAGTCCTTGCTATGCCTCTTACCGGGTAAGATTCTCAGTCTTTGCCATGCTCAATCGGTAAGGTAAGTGACATCAGTAAGTGGTTACCCGGTAAATGTTTAGTAAACAGCCCTTTAGATGAAGGGGTAGAGCTTGTGAGCCAATGAGCCTTAAGTTAGATTAAGTGGGTGTAAGTTTTTACTGCATTGTTTTTCTTTTCTTGTAACTGCTTTTGTTCTGCTGGTATGTTTGGTTTGTTTCTGTTTGTTGTCTGCTTGTTTGTCTGTTTGTTGTTGCTTACTCCAAATACATTTTCACGTTTTAGCATTGCCTCTCCATTTTCAAGTTTTTATGTTTTTTCAAAATAAAATTGAGCATTTTGTTTTCACACACTTTGCAGCCGAGGGTCTTCATGGAGAGTGCTGTCTACTCCTTGAGTAGAGGTCAGGCCTGTTTACATCCCACCCTCCCAAGATCCCACTTCAGGTGGGATATACTGGGTTTGTTTGGTTTTTTTAGATGGGCAGGTGCTATTCAAGCTAAGCACTTGGTGGTTGGTGTAATAGGAACCAGACAGAGGCGTCATTAGAGTTTTTGTTGGTAGCTCCATTGATAGTTTAGTTCATTAAGAATTTCTATACTGATCTAAGTGGTCAAAATTACTTGGTGACAATGTGTGTTAGTCCAGCATTTGCTCTAGTTGCTGGGTGGTACTTTATGTGTTGCTTGTCTTTGCTATTCATTGTTAAAATGTAAATATGGGTCTCAACCTGTCTTTGATGAAACGTTGCTAAGAACTTAGCCTTTTCCAGTCTTTTTGCTCATTTTAATAAACATGAAAATTTGCAACTTCTATGTTTATTCCTGTTTTATACTAAAGATACTCACTTGGATGCTTGTTACATTTGCTGTTACTGTGTTCAGGTGGAAGAAGTCCTTGAACCCACTCAGGGAAAGAGTTGGGAAATGGGCTCCCGATGAGGACAAACGTCTCAAAATAGCTGTTAGGCTATTTGGGGCCAAAAATTGGTATAAGATAGCTAGATTTGTGCCTGGAAGGACGCAAGTACAATGCCGAGAAAGGTATTGTTAGACATACACCCACACATAGTTTCTCATGTTTGGTTCATTTTTAATAAACAAAATTTTGTTTCGGTGACAGATGGGTTAACTGCTTAGATCCGTCACTTAATATGAATGAGTGGACCGAAGAAGAGGATTTGAAGTTGAAAGAAGCAATTGCTGAACATGGATATAGCTGGTCTAAGATAGCTGCATGTATTCCCCCACGCACCGACAGCCAATGTCGAAGGTGCTGTAACCTTTATTTGACGATCTTCTTATCCCTTTCATATTTTGGGATTTAGGACTTCTATTTCTTTCATCTTTATCTTCTTGTTTATTTGGTGTTAGAGTATGCTAGCTTGTTCTAGAACAGTTTTTTTTGTATGAACAGGAGATGGAAGGTCCTGCTTCCGCATGAAGTTCCTATGCTACAAGCAGCCAGAAAGATGAAAAAGGCTGCTTTAATATCTAACTTTGTCGATCGGGAGGAGGAGCGTCCTGCTCTCACTGCCAGTGATTTTATCCCACCACCTCTGCTGATTAAGTCAGCTCCCAAGGTCAATGAAGCTCGTTTAAGCACAAAGAATAAAAGACAAAGGTCTGCCTTCTAAAAGATTTTTTTGGGTTGTTTTTGATTTTCTTTTAACATTATTAACTTGTTACTTTACTCTGAACAGGTTGCCACCAGAGCACCATGTGCATGATACTTCATCTGGGTATGCTCTTTTCTATCTCCAAAATGCAATACTTCTTGTTCTATGAAAACTGCAAAAATTTCCAACTTCAGATGTGTCATATCACTTGCAATGTTTCCCTTTTTTGGGTAAACTTGTAAGATAAATCACTTATTCACCCCCTATCTCATCAGCATAAGCCCTTTATTATGTTGTTTTTGGTTCAGAAGATTTGGTTGCTACTTAGTAGTGGAATAAAATCAATCATAACTAGTCTTCAAATAGTATGTTCTCCATCCCATTGGGGAGAGACCTTATAATAAGAACATCAATCTCTCTATCCTGTAAAAATTTCAAGACTCAATTAAACTGTATTTTGCAGTTTTAAAAAAATGACGAGAGAATCTATTTCAATCGATACCCTGTTAGGGATTCACAAGTTCTTTTTGTTTATTTTATTTTAATTTTTGTTTAAATCAAAATATGACTAGTTTCACTGAAATTGTCATGTAGAGGCAAGATTGTCCACCTATATTTGCATATTGGTTAGAAAGCTTTTATGAAAAGTGTTATATGGCTAGTAGAAGGAAAACAAAATATCGCATTTGCAAGAAAAAGAATACAACTATTGCTTTGATGACTCTCATTTCATTTCCTTTCTATTTCCATTTATTTCTCATTTCATTCCATTCAACCAAACAAATTATAGAAGTTAGTTTCAAAAACTTGTGCTCTACTTTGTCATGATGGACAAGCATTTGACTGAGCCAAACATGTGGGTTGGTACCCTTACATTTCATAATTTTAATTTCATTGAACATCCTTAGTATTTTTCACTGTCGTAAGTGTGTTATGAAAGTTATTGCTGATTATGAATTTTTGTATGTCAATCTGCAGAACTGTTGTTGTAGTTAGATCCAGGAGGGCTAGAAAGGTTACTCATACTGAAAAAGTACTGAGATTAACGGATGTAGAGGATAATGCTGACGTCACAGACAATGGAAGATGGAAGAACAAGCCGACATCATTGAAGAACAAGTCAAGCATCTTGGTGAGGGGCACAGAACTACACAATGGTGAAGGAAACAGAGCATCTGTTGGGGACAATGCTGAAATGAAAGGTGAAGTCGCTGGAAAGCAGAAGCGGAAACGAAGGTATGGTTTCACTTTTTCTGTTGCAAAGTGTGTATATGTTGAAACTTGCGTCTTAGTAAAGTCAACCGACGTAACATAATCATGTGTCTCCTCCGAAGAAAATAGAAGCATGAGATTCCATAAATTTTGGCTATTAGCTTGCTATAAAACTTACAACTTAATATCTCACTAAAGAAAATGTGTCCTTGTGATTATTAAAAAGTGAACGATCTTTGTACCCATCATACTGTATTAAAACGCCATAGTACTTGGAAAGATCCAAAAACCTGTACTTGTGAATTGTAAACTATCGTACTTGGATTTTAACTTTACAAAATAGCATTGTTCTTGCAAATGAAATGTTTCTTTTTGGGATTTTTCAAAGTACGATGGTTGTTCTGATGCCAAGTGTTATAAGTACCTTCACTTTGTTTATTATGACATACATCCGGATCCCACCTCCAAGTGGGATATACTGGTTTTGGTTTAGTTGATTATTATGATAATTGATTTTGATGGATTGGGTTGACCTCAATTTGCAGAGGCAAGAAAGAAGATGGAGAAATTTTGGAAGCTGATGCTATTTCAAAGGAGAATACCATGAGAAGAGCAAATGAAGGATGCGAGTTGGCAGAATCTGAAGTTGATGATGTCTCCTATGATCCATGTTTACTTGAGGTTCTTGCGAATGAACCTTGTTCTTGTCGAGAAATGATTGAGAGCACGAGTGGGAAAGTTGAAAAAACATATAAGAGAAGTAGAAAACGGGCAAATGTAGATGGCGATAAAAGAAGCAGTGTGGTTAGAAAAGAAGGAAGTGAGATACTAGTAGACGAAGAAGCGGAAGATGGAGAGACCCTTGCTAGCTTCTATAAGAAAGTAAAGAAGAGGAGGCTTGAAGGCCGTTAAGACTGAAGAAGAAGATGGTTGTGTTGTTTGTTGATCCAAATGTGTGATTATTCCAAGTCATTCCAAAGGTAGAGGAGGTATGTTGGTTTTCTACTTCTGACAAAGGCTTTTTTTGATGATGGGGGTGAAATCTACCATCCATAATGATCAATCTTTAGCTGCAACTTTTCTGGCATGGTACATGGATGGTTGTTGTGATACCCTTAAAACCCTGAAGGAGGTGAGATGTATTGGGCTGGTTTGGTTACTTGTTATATGTTTCTTACTGGGCTGGTTTGGTTTACTTGTTACCCGTGTTTCTTACTGGGTTGGTTTTGTTTACTTGTTAACCGTGTTTGGTTTGGTTTGGTTTGGTTTGGTTTGGTTTACTTGTTAACCATGTTTGTTACATGGGATGTCATTAGGTATAACAAAAAAAGTTGCCCTACATTTAGTACAAGTTAGATTGGGAACAGTTAGATTTACGTTTTTTTTGTGTGTTTGATCGTGAAATATGGGATTAGGAGGGATAAAATTGCAAAGTTTCATACTTGCATGTTATCTTCGATTTTGTTTAAGAAAAACTGGATACCTGAGTTATTTCTCTTACATATCTCAATCATTGAATGAATAAGAGCGTTAGTATTATGACTTTGCCAAATCGCTTCATCAAATGTAATGGGTTTATGAGGGGTTTATGAGAGACCAACGAAATGGTGAGGTTACATTTTTACACTTGAAACTTCACAGTAAAACATAATGAAAGTAAAAAAAAAATCCTTACATTCATAGCAAAACATTGTGAAGGTTATTTTCAGTGTTCTAGTGTGAAGTTTCAGTGTAAAAATGTGGTCTTATAGGTTTTATGAAAATAGGTTGGTTTCATATGATTCCAAAAGCAACTAACTTGAAGGGTACAACGGTTACAACCAAGGTATTTGGGTCTTTTTATGAAATTTATATTTTTAGGAATAAATCAGATTTTTCTTAAAAAATATTAATTTCTTAAATATTATATTTATTACCACATGTAACTGACTTTGTATTTTTAAGAATAATTCCAAATTTTCAAATTATTTATTACTTAATAAATAAACCATTTTATAACCATTTAAAAAAAAATCATCTTTTTTTTTCTATATGAAGCTATATACAAAAGTGATCCATATATGAAAACTTTATATAAAAAATGATGCATATATGAAAAAAATTCATCACTTTTTCATATATGATATGAAAAATGATTCAGCAATAACTTACCTCTCAAAACCAAAAGAATCAACACCTCAAAAACTGAAACAACTAAAAAACAATTCATACCCTTGTGTTATGTGTGATAACTGGGTTTTATCGGTTATAAAGTTGGAGTTGTTTTTGAGTAATAGTAGAAAGTTGAGGGGTGTGTTTTCAAAATTGGTTTTAAAATTTTAAAATCTTATATAAAATTGGTTATATGTGTGTGATATTTGTTTACTTCTTGGGTTTTGAAAAGAAAGTTGGTGTGTATACTTTATTCCTCTGGTTTGAAGAAAAACATCATATCTTGAAATTTCAAGGTGAGTTTTATTTTTAAAAACATCATTTGATATGTTTTGGTGAAGAAATCGTATGATTTTATATATGTGTTCTAGAAGATTTTATATCTTATTTTTAGCATATCTTTTTTATGTTTGGATATGTTATTATCAACCGTTAGGAATAAGGGTGACATAATCCAGAGATGTGTCTTTTAGTGACATAATCCAGTGGCATAATAAGGAGACACGTACTTTGGGATAAATGTGGTATAATCAGGAGAGACGTATACTGGGATAAGGGTGACAAAACCTTATGTATGTAAAAATGGTATTTTTGATCATGTGAAAACCGATATCATATCTAAATGTTGCGATGAGTAAGATCTAGATAAGTTGGTGTTATTGCATCCTTGAGATGCGAGGACTGAGTTTATCGCATCTGTGGTGCGATAAGTGGAGTTTATCACATCTATTGGATGTGACAAATGGGAGTCATCATAATAGTATGATGCGACAAGATTGGGTTATCACATCTGAATGATGCGACAAGTTGATGTAATGCAAGTATAATGCGACAAAAGGTGTGATCACATCCATGAGATGCGACATGTTGGTATCTTTATGTTTAATGCGATAAGTTTGATAMTTTATGGGTTTGATGTGACAAAAAGATGTTTGTTTTGGATGAAACACTGTTAATTTGTTATTTATACAAATATGAGCTTTATAAAAACTGTTTCAGTTATTTTCATTTTCATTATGTAATAACAATCAAAAGGGGTTTTCACACTAGGCCTTATGGTCTAATTCTCATTTTGTGTTTTAAAATATGCATTACAGGCCAGACACAATCGGAGGATAGGGGAAATTATGAAGAAATTTATGATTGCTTACATATGTGGATTTTGGAAGATGTTATGCTATTTGATTTTTGAGAACTTGTTAGGTTACAAGTCTTGTACGGGATATTTATGAAAAAATTTGATAACTACTTTTGTAATGTAATAAATTATACATTTGGGACCAGTGTGTAAATATTTGAATTTCATGTTATATAAAATACGTGGGTTATATGCAAAAATGTGAATGGGGTGTTATGCACTTCCAAAACAAGAAAGAAATTGAAAAACCTCCTACATGGTTTGATGTTTTGCTGCTCATGTATCCTTTCTCGTTGTTGCTGTTAATACTTTGCTGCTGTTTTGAACTCTATTAACAGCCCCAATTGAACTCCCTTTCACTTCCTTGGTTTGCTTTGCTGTTGTATGCTACTAAGAATCCTAACTTTGAATTAATTAACAATCAGAAAAATCTTAGCTGTTTTACGTGACTAAGAATCTTTTGCTGCTGTATGCGACTAAATATGGAGATAAACACGGATTTCAAATTTAAAATTTAAATATAAAATTAAAGTCAAAATAATTAAAAATATATTTCAAAACTACCCTTTCTCTAATTTTTTAAATCCATTAACAATCAGATTATTCTCAACCGTTGATCAAGAGAATGGAGAGTCAAGATTAGGTTGTAACGGTTGTACCCTTTAATTGCATTTTAGAAGGGAATTCATCGGGTGTTTGCATTCAATTAGGACTTGTCCAAAGATGAAGATCGTTTCTTACGCTTCTCACTATAATTTATCTTCTCACCGGAACCCATCTCTCCCTCCCCCCCCTCTCTCTCTCTCTCTCTCTCTCTCTCTATATATATATATATATATATACATACACTACATTAATATGCATTCAGATCAAAACTCTTACAGACAAGTGTTGAAGCATGAAGTATAACTATTTATGCATGAAATCTGAAATTCTCTTAATTATGAGTGAGGAAGCACAATACATGTAGCACCCGTGAATTTTATAACTATGCTTATTTTGGGAAATTGGGATATATTGCAGGCTTCAACATTTAATTTCGATAAATAAAGATTTGGATGTGAATTATCGGTTTTGGATTATTCTGGGTCGAACTGGGACCAACCGGGTGATATTTTTAAAAAATAAAAATTTTTAAATAGTTGATTTGACATTAACATTGATATATATATATATATATTTTTAAATTTTTATGATATCTTCAAATTTATATTTTATTCAAAAATAAAATAATTATTGCTTTTTTTAAAAACACACAATCTATACTATCTATACTATATTATAAAACATTTGACAAAAACTCTTAAAAACAATTTTTTATGCACGAAGTATTGTTTATTGATGCATATTACTTAAAATT